GCCCGGCTTAGGTGAGCGTCCTCTGCGGCCACGTGGGGCTGCACGACGCGTCAGCCCGTGGCGAGGCTGGGGCAAATTTCGCTCGGACGCGTTGCGGCGCGTCGGGCCGCCCTTCAACGTTTTCGTTTACCTCCGTGGCGTCATCAGCTCGTGCCAAGCTTGCAAGCTTCGAGGTCGCCTCGTGCCTCGCATCGCCTCGTCCGCCGCGCCGAAGCTCGTCGACCGCCGCACGTCGAAGGTCTCGATTCAAAAAATGCTGTCCGCGCTGCTGCTGCTGCTGGCGCAGTCCACAGCTCTCCTCAGGACCGCACCAATGGCTGCCCACAAAGTCGTCATGCGCGACAGCGACCGCTGCTACTACGGCGACGTCGACGACGCGGGCAACGTCGACGGCGCGCGGCGCGCGACGAAGCGCCCCCAGCGCGAGCGTGTGGCGCTCCGGTCGCCGGACCCGGCGCTGTCGCCGCTCGACGTCGTCGAGCAGCAGTTCCACCCGAAGCCCCGGGCGACGAGCAGGCCTCTAGACGCGCGCGCCATCCTAGGACGGGAGCAGCGACGACCGTGAGACGGGCCCGCCGAGCTCCATGGGGTCCTCCGAGCCGACGACGACCGCGGCGGTCGCGCTCTCCATGGGCAGGTCGTCCTCGCAGTAGCCCTCGGGCACGGGCATGCCGACGGTCGCGGGCCGCGCGGGCACCTACGGAGAGCGGCGTCGCTTCGCGGTTTCGGAAACGCTCCCCAAAGGGACGGATGTCTTCGGCGGACGCGGCCGAAGCGCCGCGACGGCCTCGATGCCGCCGCCCGGCGGCGGCGGGAAGGTCCCGCTCGCCGCCGGCGCGGCGGGCGTCACGTGCGCCATGGCCATGACGTTCGTCACGGTGTACGCCTCCGCGACGGTGATGCCGTCGCGGCGGCGCCGCGTCTCCACGCAGCAGATGAGCCCGGAGCAGCCCACGAAGACGAAGAGCGCCGCGATCATGCCGACGATCCACCAGACGAGCACGTCGTCGTCGTCGTCGCAGGTCTCGCGCTTCTTCGCGCAGCAGCTCTTGCAGCTCACGCCGTACGTGATCTCGGAGACGACGCACGTCTGGCAGTTGCTCACGTCCTTGATGCACGTGAGCCCCGTGGACACGTTCAGGGACGTGTCGTCGTAGTCGCAGCCGTCGGCCGTCGGCGCGTACCTAAAGCGAGCCATTCCCTTCGTTTTCAGAGACACGAGGCGCGCGACCAGGAGCGGGCGCCGGCGCACGCACGGCGAGTCGCAGCAGTCTACCCGATCGGCCCGCGCGACCAGGGCCGGGAAGAGTAGCAGCAGCAGCGCGCACCGCGTCGCGCGGGCCATGTGCGGCGCGCGGCGTCGATCGATGCGATGGGGCAGCCCGTCGATCGATGATGTGGGCCAAGTTCACTCAAAACCATGCCTTCAGCGAGCAGAGAGGTTCTAAAGTTGCCACAGAGAGCTGCCCACAAGTAGCCGCACCACACCTCCTGCCGCGCCGCCGCACCAAAGATGGTCGCGGGCGTCAAGGGCGTCGCGTTCCTCGACGGCGACACCATGGCCGTGACGTCGTCGACGAAGGGCGAGCTCTTCCTCGTGTCCAAGGCGTCGCAGAGCGTCCTGCGCCGCGTCGAGCTCGACGTCAAGGCCGAGTCGCTCTGCGCCGTGCCCGGCACGCGGCGCGTGCTCGTCGCCGACGGCCGCGGCACGCTCTGCTGCGTCGACACGGCGACGGAGCCCGCGACGGTGGCCTGCGTCGCCGGCTCGGCGCACCACGCCGGCGGCGCGATGCGCCTCACGTCCGTCGCCGCGTGGGACGAGCGCACGTGCTTCGCCGCGGGCGCGGTCCGCGGCGACAAGACGCGCTGCAGCGTGCGGCGCGTCGATCTAGTGAAAAACGAGGTCGCCGAGGACGCCCTGCTCGAGGCGCCCATGGTCCGCGCGCTGCTCGCGGAGCCGGACCGGGGTCGGCTCTTGGCGGGCGCGATCGACTGCGCGGACGAGGAGAGCGACGACTGCGCGACGCGCCTCGTGGCGCTCCACGCGTCGAACGACTTCGCCGGCCCGCCGGAGGTCCTGGCGACCGTCGACTTCTTCGTCCACGCGGTGTCGCGCCACTCGGAGGACGTCTACGTGCTTTTGGCGCGGCACAGCGGCTCCAAGTGGGAGGCGCCCGTCAAGGTCGTGCGCCTCCACGCGGCGGGCCACAGCGTCCTCGTGTCCGTCCAGGGCATCCACGCGACGCTGCCCATCTCCCACGGCGGCGCGATCGCGGGGCTGTCCTACGCGGGGCTGATGGGCGGCGTGTTTGGGGTCCGCGCGGGCCGCGAGCACGCCATGGCCGTCGCGCCCGACGGGACCCTCGTGACGGGCTGCGTCGACAAGAGCTCCCGGGGCATCCTCCAGCTCTGGAACCTCGAGGTCCCCGACGCGGCCGCGGGCACGGGCAGCACGGAGACGACCGCGGCGGCCTAGCCGATTTTAAAAAAGGACCGCCGACTCGTGCGCTTGTGAATTCGATGGCCCCGAGATTCCTTAGTATTCGACGAGCCCGAGGTGGCGCGCCACGCCGACCTTGGAGCGGAACTTCGAGCCCTCCGGCGAGATGAAGTAGATGTCGTAGTCGCCCGCGGTGTCGCCGTTCTTCCGCGTCTCCATGATGGCGCGCCAGCCGGCGGCGGCGATCATCGCCTCGTCGCCGCCCTGGTTCGCGATGTAGCCGCCGAGCTGCGTCAGAATCGTGCGCTCCCGGGCGTCGGGGGTGGGTCCGAGGAGCTCCAGGTTGCTCTCCTTCATGTCCGTGCATCGCCGCCTCGTGCACGCCTGCTTCAGTCTCCCGGAGCCCCCGAACTCGGGTTTATCTCGGCACGCAAAACAGTCGCCGCAGTTTGGCGCTTTGCATCCCGCGCACACGCGGCAGCGCGAGCGCCGCGTGTCGGCGTTGGTCGCGCCGCCCTCCCTCGACTTCCGCGCGCGCTTCTTCGGATATTTCGTCGGCTGCTCCGGGTCGTCGGGCGCCGGCCGCTTCGGCGACGGCCGCCGCTCCTCCGGCTTCGTCGGCACGGCCGCCTTGATGCGGTCCTCGTCGGCGCCGATCGCGCGCAAAAATCGCCGCTTCCGGAGCGGCTTCCACCCGGCGACGATGGCGTCCAGGTCCGGGTGCCCCGCGAGCCTCACGACGTCCCGCAACTCATCGCACGCCACGCACACCTCGAGATACTCGGAGGAGTCCGGCGCGAAGGCGTGGGCCTGGAGCCAGTCGTAGAGGGTCGGCGTGGAGCCCGGCGGAAGCGACGGCGGCGGCGGGCGCAGCGGGACCGTGAAGTCCTCGTCGTCGTCGAGCTCGTCGCGCTCGCTGGCCGCGCAGGAGGACGCCAGGGGCGACGTCGCCTCGTCCTCCTCGACGACGGGCTCGATCTCGGCGGCGCGAGGCTGCATTCTGAGCCCGACCCGCTCTCGAACAGCATGTTGAACATCAAATTGACTACAAATACGCCGTCCCCGCGGCGCGGTCCGCCTCCCGGGGCGCCTCCTCGCGCTCGACGCGCGAGAGGTCCGCCTCGACGAAGAGCTTGCGGGACGCCCAGCCCGGGAGGGGCTGGGCGAGGCGCACGCGGTCGCCGCACGCCGCGTCCGCGACGCAGTGCATGCCCGCGCCGACCTTGATGACGAAGGCCGAGTCCTTGGCCGGCGCCGCGCGGACGATGGCGCCGCTCTTGCCGACGACGCGGAGCTGGACGGGCGTGTCGAAGACGACGACGGGCGCCGCGGGCGGCCACCACGCCATCGGCGCCGCGCCCGCGTGCCACCCCCTGGGCGCCGCGGCCTTCTTCTTGCGCTTCGGCCGCGCGACCGGCGGCCCGAGCTTCGCGTCGAGCTCCGCCTGCTTCTCGCGGCAGTAGCGCAGGAGCGCCGCGTCGTCGCTCGCGACGGCGACGGCGACCGCGGGCCGCGGAATTTCGGCGCCGTCGGGCCCGAGCCCGGGGGCCTCGTAGTCGCCGACGACGCAGGGCGACCGCGCCGTGTCGCTGCCCGTGCGCATGATGGCCACGTCGCAGAGCGGCGCCTCGAGCCCCAGCAGCGCGAAGGCCGCGAAGCCGCTTCGCCGTACCTTTCGGACGCAGGCGAGCGCCATGACGTCGGGCCGCGGGTGGCCCCGGCCGAAGAGCGCGGGCAGGAAGTCGTCGACGCTGAAGAGCGACGCGCGGAAGCCCGACGCGGCGAGCGTCGCCGCGCCGCGCCGCGACACGGCGTAGGCCGTCGTCAGCTTGCGGTGCGCGGCTTCGACGAGGCGCCAGTTCGGACCCCGCGCGACCTCGACCTCGACGGTCTCGACGTCGTAGAGCGCGCTGTGGACGTAGACGAGGTCCCAGGGCATGCGCGCCGACCGGAGGTGGCCCAGCGCCGCGTCGAGCGCGGCGCGGCAGCCGTCCTGCAACCGCGCGTCGTCCTCGACCACGAGCGTGTCGTCGCGGGATCGCGCGTCGTCCCACAGCCGCACGTGGCTCAGGGCGCAGCCGAGCTCGCCGAGGGTCACGTGGCGCGTGTGGAAGCTCGCGTAGCCCTCGACGCACTTCGGGCTCCAGCCGCCGCGCGCGAAGAGCTCGCGGAAGCCGCGCCAGGCGTCGTCGTCGTCGCCGTCGACGGCCTCGCCGCACGCGCGCGCCGCGGCGGCCGCGTCGGCGACGGCCCAGCCCGTCCAGACGCCGCAGTCGAGTGCAGCTTCGACGGCGGCGACGTCGCGCGGCGCCGCCCCGGCCCGGGCCACGACGCCCGCGCCGTCGACGGCGGGAGAAATGGCGACGTCGGCCCCGGGCAGCGCCCCGGCGAGGTGCGCCGCGCAGTCGACCCAGCGGCCGCAGCGGCCCGCGAGGCAGACCGCGCGGACGGCGAGACCTCCCGAAGGCGCCGCGTCGTTTGGCGCCGCGGCGACGAGGTGGTGCCGCGCGAGGGCCTCCCAGGACCGCTTCACGCTTCGGCCGCCGTTGCCGTGGACGGCCACCGGCACGGTGCCGTAGCGCGCGTTCGCGAGGAAATCGCCGAAGCGCCCCCCGCGCAGCTCGAGCTCGCCCCGGGGTAGCGTCTCGACGCCGCCGAGGCACTGGAAGAGCTCGCACGTCGCGTCGATCTGGACGTCGCGCGACCCGGAGTTGACCTCCGCCGCGTAGAACGCGTGGCAGCGCCGCTGGTCGTCGTCGTCGGCCGCGACGCCGGCGACGAGCCGTTTAATCGTCGACGCCCGCCCGAGGAAGCAGCCGCTGTTGAGGTAGCGGTAGGGCGACCGGTCGTCCGCGGCCGGCCGCGGGTAGCCCCCCTTGTCGCAGCCGGTCGGCCAGCACCGCGTCTCCGCGGCGAAGAGCAGCGAGCAGCCGCGGCTGGCGAGGATGGCCGCGAGGGCGGCGGCGTCGGGCAAGGCCGCGTTCCAGTAGACGTCGTAGGAGTCCGTGAAGACGACGAGCGCGTCGTCGGCCGCGGCCGCGAGCGCGGCCCGGAGGAGCTCGAACTTGAAGCCGCCCGAGGGGCCCTTGGTGATGTCGGGCCCGCGCCAGGCGCCGCCGAGGCCGAGCATGGCCGTCGTCGCCACGCCGTGGCGCGCCGCCGTCGCCTCGTAGAGCGCGACCTTGCCCGCGTCCGTGCCCACGCTGTAGACGAGGAGCGCGTCCGCGGCCGGCGGCGGTTTCGCGAGAGCGGGCGCCGCGTCGCCGCCGTAGAAGTGCTTGAAGTTGTGGAGCAGGGGCGCGGCGGCGCGGCGAAAGGCGTCGGTTTCGTGCTCCTCCTCCGTGAGCTCCCACCAGTCGGCGACGTCGAAGCCCTCCGCGAGCAAGACGGCCGACAGGAGCTCGTCGCCGTGCCACGGGCCCCCGGCGCCCGCGGCGAAGAGCGCCGCGGCGTCGGCGACGGCCGCGGCGACGGCGGCGCGGCAGGGCCCGGCCCGGAGGCAGCAGCCCCCGGCCGTCGCGTAGTGGTAGTCGCCGCGCGGCGCCGCGCCGTGCCGGTCCCTCCGCGACGCGACCCAGGACCGCTTGCCGCCGAGGAGCCGGTTGAAGGCGTGGGCCTTGCCGCCGGCGGCCGCCGCGGGGAAGGCGCGCAGCGCGCCCCGGACGAGCACGTCCGGCTCGAGGTAGACGACCCAGTCGCCCCGTTCGGACGCGTAATCGAAGAGCCCGAGCCAGTCCGCGAGGTCCGCCGCCGCGTGGAAGTGGGCGTAGCGGGACCGCGGGCCGGGCTTCAGGAGATTGCGGCCGGCGGTGTAGTCGCATCCGAATCGCGCGGCGACGGCGCGCAGCACGGCCGTGCCGGACTCGTGCACCAGGATCGTCGCCGACGGGTAGTGGCGCCGCGCGTGGGCCAGGCAGGCCGCGACGGCCCTCGGCTGGCCGTGCGCGACGAGGAGGAAGACCGGATCCGGCGCTCGCGGCGCGTCGAAGGCGGGTGGGTGTGAGAGCTTTGGGAACTCGCCTGCGCGAGCAGCCATGCTCATGGGCTGCCAAAGGGGAGAGGCTGCACCGTCAGCTTCAACTTAAAGTATTAAAATTCGTCCGGGAGCGTCCAGACCCCCGCGAGGTAGGCGAGGCGGACGCAGGCGATGTCGCGGGCCATCTGGATCGAGTCGGCGGCGATGTCGATCTTCGACCCGGCGACCTCGTGCCACGTCACCGCGACCTCGGCGATGGGGAAGCCGAGGCGCTTCGCGATGTACAGAAGCTCGACGTCGAAGGCCCAGCGCTCGATGTGGAGCGCCCCGAAGATCGCCGCCGACGCGCGCTTCGAGAGGAGCTTGAAGCCGCACTGCGTGTCCTCGACGCCCGCGACGCCGCCGACGACGGTCACGACGACGTGGAAGCAGCGCATCAGTAGATTCCGGAGCGCGGACCGCTTCGCGACGGCGTCCGTGCCGACCATGTGGGCCCGGCTCCCGCAGGCGACGCCCGCGCTCTCGTCCATCGCCGCCCGCTCCAACCGCGCGTGGTCCGAGAATCGCGTCGCGCCGTCCGCGTCCGCGACGAGCACCCAGGCGCCGCGGGACCGCAGCGCGCCCTCGCGCACGGCGCCGCCCTTGCCCCGGTTCCGCGCCAGCACGACGGCGCGCAGCTCGCCGCCGGGGAAGAGCTCGCGGCCGAGCGCCTCGGCGACGCCGGCCGTGCCGTCGGACGAGCCGTCGTCGACGACGAGCACCTCGAAGGCGAAGGACTGCGCCGACAGGTAGGCCGCGGCCTCCCGCAGCATGACCGGCAGCCGCTCCCGCTCGTTGTAGGCGGGGATGACGACGGAGAGGTGGACGGCGTCGCTTGTGCTCGCGGCGAGCCACGTCTCGCGCGCGCGCCTGTCTTCCGCTTCGAGGGCTGCGCGCGCCCGAGCGGCGTGGATAGGCGTGAGGAACCAATTCAGGAACCGGTACAGCGCATAGCAGAGGACTGCTGCGGCGGCTAGCAGACCTGACATCGTCGCTCCAAGAGGTGCAGCGAACCTTGACTTCAACTTTCAGGAAATTTGTCGAAAGTTCACGATCGCTGTCCTCTGCCGATGGTTCCAGAAATGCAACCTCAAGCTAGCTAGCGAGCGCCGAGGAAGCGCACCGTCGGGACGCAGGCCTCCGCGATGGCGTCCGTGGGCGGGTGGAGCGCGCGGACGGTGAAGCAGCCCTCGGGCGCGTCGGAGACGTCGACCTCGTTGTCGCGCGCGCCCGTGGGCCGCGTCGTGAGGATCGCGTCGCACGAGCGGACGCGGTCGCCGGAGGCGAGGCTCCGGGGCGGCGCGGCGACGGCCGAGTCGACGTCGACGAACGAGGGCAGCGGGAGCGACGTCCACGCGTAGACGTTGAGCGCCGCGTAGCGCAGGCCGGGCGGCGACCCCGGGACCCACGCGTCGACGACGAAGGTCACGGCGACGTCGCCCGCGCGGCAGTCGTAGGGCCCCGACCAGTAGAGGTGGCCCGCGCAGCCGCCGAGGCCCGCGATGGCGCGGACGTCGCGGTTCGGGACGCCGCGGCCGCGGTCGCGCCGGTACTTGGTCGCGAGCGAGAGCGAGAGCGCGGACCGGAGCGAGAGCGCGAGCGCGGCGCCCGCCACGAGCGCGCGCGCGAGCTCCGGGCGCAGGGCCACGGCCGCCGCGTTGATCCAGACGCAGCCGCGCAGGCGCGCGGCGGGCCCCCGCGGCGCCTCCGCGGTCGCGAGCTGGCCGCAGCGCCGCTCGACGTCGCGGGCGGGCCACGGCGCGCCGCCGGGCAGCGCGCGGACGGCGGGCGCGCGCCACCGCCTCCCCTCGGGCAGCTTGAGGCACCGGATGACGACGAGGCACTTCTCGGCGTCGCCCACGTCGATGACATCCTTGAAGCCGGCGACGGCGGCCGATGCGCCCACGGCGACCGCGTAGCGGCCGTCGCCGTCGAGCGATAGGTCGCCGTCGAAGAGCGTGCGCGCGCGCCGCGCGCCGTCGTCGTCGGCCGCGCCGCCGCGCCGCTCGTTGAGCGGATCTGCCGCCTTCTTGCAGAAGACCTGGATGGACCAGTAGCGCGCGCCGCGCGGCGCGAGGCCCTCGAGCGCGAACGGCGTGGGCACGGCGCCGAGGCACGCGGACTGGTCCACGGACATCGGAAAAGGCCCCGCGATCTGCGCGCTGAGCGCGTCGCAGCCGTAGGGGTTGCCTGCGGCGATCGTGGGCTCCTTGGGGCGATGGAACGCGCGTCGACGCACCGGGGATGTTCGACGTCCAGCGGACGGAAAAGGACCGGGGCAGCCACTGCCAGGCCCAAGGGGGCAGGAGGGACCGCAGCCGGTGCCGCCAGGGCGTCACGAGGAGCGCGTCGACGACGTCCGTGTAGAGACAGAGATTGACGACGGCCGCCGTCGCCGCGAGCCCCGCCGCCGGCAGCGGCCGCAGGCCACGAATCGCGCCCATTGGTGTCTGGATTGTCAAGAACGCACCAACAAGTTCAACTTCTTGATCGCTGAGCAATGGGCAGCCCATTCGAGAGGCCCGCGGCCAAGGCGGCCGTCGCCGCCGCCGCGGTCCTCGTGCTCGCGCATCGCGGCTACCGGCTCCCGCGGTCGCGCGTCAAGCTGCGCGGCGTCTTTTGGGCGGCGAACTGGCTCTGCCGCGTCGTCGGTGTTGGCGCGACCTGTGATGTGGACGGACTCACAGACTTGCACGAACAGGCGCTCGCCGCGGAGCAGGTGGCCTTTCGCGACGGCGCCGACTCCGACGCCGCGAAGCGGTCGCTCTTCCGCATCCAGCTCCACGGCGTCGACGCGCCCGGGAATCGCTTCACGCCGCTCGGCCGCTACGTCTTCGGCAAGGACCTCGCGAAGCGCCTGCGCCGGCGCATCCGCCTCGCGAAGGCCGTCGCGGCGGCGCCGAAGCGCGCTATCGACGCGCCCGTCGTCATCGTCGCGGGCCTGCCGCGGACGGGCTCGACGCTCCTGCACCGGCTGCTCTGCGCCGACGCCGCCGCGCGGTCGCCGCGCTACTGGGAGTTCATGCACGACGACGCCGGCGAGGCCGTCGCGGGCGAGGATGCGGTCGAAGACGAGCGGCGCGCGGCCGCCGTCGAGGCGGGCTTCGACAAGTTGGCCGCGCTGTCGCCGAACGGGTTGGACGAGTTCAAAAAATTCCACCACGTCGACGCGCGGGCCATCGAGGAGGTCGCGGGGTTGCTGCGCCGCTACGTCTGGGACACGGAGACGGCCCTCCTCGCGCCGGCGGCGGTTGCGGCGCGCGCGCGCTGGTTCGCGGACGACGAAACGGACCGGTCCTTCCTCGCGCGCCACCTCGCGTCCTGGGTGGCGCTGCAGCGGCTGCCGAAAGACCGGTTCTGGGTCTTGAAGAGCCCCGCGCTCACGGCGATTGTGGGAGAGGTGGCGGACGCGTTTCCGGACGCCACGCTCGTCTTCACGTCGCGCGACCCGGCGCGGTGCGTGCCGAGCCTCTGCGGCCTCGACGAGGTCGCGTGCTCCGTCAAGTTCGACTATGCAGGCGGTCTGGACGCGCACGGCGCCGCGGTGCTGTCGCGCCTCGAACTCTACGCGGCCAACCAGTGCGCGTTCGTGCGAGCCGCGCGCGGGTTACACCCCGCGATGGTTCTCCTGCGCTACGACGACCTCGTCGCCGACCCGATCGCCTGCGTCGAGCGCATCTACGCGGCGCGCGGCGCGACGCCGAGCGAGGAGGCGCGCGCGGCCATGGAGCGGCACCTCGAAGAGAACGCGCAGCACAAGCACGGCAGGGCGGCCTACGGCCTGGGCCAGTTCGGCCTCGACGCGGCGGACCTCGGCCGGCGCTTCGCCGCCTACGCCGAGTTCTGGCGCTAAGTTACGGGGTCCGCGCCCGCGAGGCTGAAGACGGAGAGCGCGTTGATGACGACGTTGTCGCCGTCCTTCGGCTGGCCCGTCTTCGAGTCGAGCGTCGCGTCGTGGATGCCCGTCCGGCGGCGCCCGGCCGGGAGGAGCGCCGGGAGCGGCGTGAAGGTCACGGCGAGGTCCGCGAGCGCCGCCCGGTCCGGGACGACGCCCGCGGCGACCGCGCGCGGCACGGAGATGGGCTCGTCCCAGCGCGCGTCGACGACGGACGTCGCGTTGAAGGCGCCCGATCTCAAATCCACCGCGAAGCGGCCGACGTGCTCGTAGGACCGCAGCACCGTGAGCTCGAGCGCGTAGGGGGGCGGCGCGCGGCCCGCGTCGAGCCGCAGCCGCAGCGTGAGGCCGAGGTCGACCGACGGCTCGCCCGAGAACCAGAGGCCCGCCTGCCGGGGCTGGAAGACGCGGTGGAAGTTGTTGACGCGCTGGCCGTGGGGCGCGAGCCAGCCGCCGGCCATGTGCTTCGAGCTGCAGGCGCGTTTCGGAAACGTGCAGCCGGGCCCGTTCTCGTCGGGCGACTCCGCGCCGGGGCAGTGGTAGCGCGGGCTCTCGGGCGACAGGCACGCCGCGGCCTCGATGCGCTCGCGGAGGTCGCCGCCCTCGAGGTGGACGACGGGCGAGAAGTGCGTCCGCAGCTCCGCGGCGCTCAGGAGCACGGGCCGCTCCAGCGCCGCGCCGAAGCACGCGGGCCGCGGCGACATGCGCGACGAGTCGACGACGTAGGCCGCCAGGACCTCGCCGAGCGCCGCGTGGCCGACGAAGGACAGGTGGAAGTCGGAGAAGAAGCGGTGCTTGAGGCCGTCCACCTCCTCCATCTTGCCGCGGAGCCAGGGCCTACAGAAAGGGAAGCGCGTCGGCGCGCGGCCTCTCGGAGCGAAGCCGCGCACCCGTCGGCCGTCCCGAGCTCCGCGGCGACGGCGTGCGCGAGCGACGCGTAGCCCACGCGGCCGTAGAGGGCCGCGACGACCTCGTGGGGCACGGACCCGCGGAGCTGGTCGGGCACGGTCCGCGGCGGGTGGTCCGGCGGGAAGGTCAGCGCCGCTCGCGCCGCCGCCGCGCACGCCGACGCGTTCGCCCGGAGCGCGTCCGCGTCGAGGGGCCGCTTCGCCGCGGCGCGCTCGACCGACGTCGCCTTCGACGAGTTCGTGCCCTTGGGGCTCTTCACCTGCGAGGCGCGGCGGTGTGCCCCGGCCCGAAATCGACGGGACGCCGCGCTCGGACGGACGGCACGTCCGCGAAGACGATGGCGACGTCGGGCACGGCCTCGCTCAGGATGCGGACGAGCGCCTCGGCGCACCTGCCCGTCTCGAGGGCCACGCGGTTGTGGTCGTTGACGGCCGTCTCGACGAAGAAGGCGTTGCAGCGGATCTCCCGGCACCAGCCGACGATCTTCTCCGTGGCCTTGGCCGCGAAGCTACAGACGTCGGCGCCGTGGTAGCCGCGGTTGAGGACGCGCGCCGCGACGCCGGACGCGTTGAGCCGCGCCTCGAGGCGCTCGGTCCAGCGGTCGCCGTCCGCGACGCCCTGGCCCGCGGTGATGGACCCGCCGAGGGCCACGGCGCGCACGTCGGGCCCGCGGATGCGGATGCGCCGCCCGATGCCTGCTATGCAGGACGCCGGCGACAGCGGCGTCTCGCAGCGCGCGCGCTCCTCGGCGGTCAGCACCTCGGTCGTGTAGGGCGGGCCGTGCGGGACGCCGGTAATCGATCGCAGCAGGCAGAGCGCGAGCGTCGTCCGCATCGCGTTATGGCTGCCCATTATCGCGTCACCATCGTGTCATGACACTCCAACCTTGCAGCCAAAATGCCGCCGACAGTGCCGTACAAAGTGCGGAGCGCAAGTCGAGATGATGCTGCGCTTCGTGTTGCTTTCGTCGCCGCCGCGCGGGGTTCTACGCGGCGCACAAACGCGCCGAAGAGTGAGCTGTACGTAGTATACAAAGCTTAGTTTCCTAGTCGAGACGCGGCGCCGTTCGGACCGCGGCGCGCGCGGCGCGTCGACGCGCCTCCGCCGCCGACGAATGTCGCGCGCCGCCGGTGACGCCGCGCGCCGCCGATCAGGCCTCGAAGTTCTGTCGCTCGCGCGCCCTAG